ACGGTGTCGAATAATTTGGTGTCGAATCGTACGGTGTCGAATAATTTGGTGTCGAATCGTACGGTGTCGAATAATTTGGTGTCGAATCGAGCGGTGTCGAATCGTACTGTAGTCAATAGAGTATCACCCGTTTGGGGGCTTTGCTAGTTGAGGAACGGCAAAGGTTTTTATCACAGTTTGGTACTAAAAAGGTGCTGTTTGGAGGAGACTTCAATGCTCATCATGTAGGCTGGGGTTCCCCCCGCACGTGTCCGGTGGGGAAAGCCTTGTGGGAAGCGGTTTAGGATTCGGACTTAGTCTTGTTGAACGATGGCTCTCCCACCTACTTCAGTGACTCTTACCGCTCCTACTCGGCTTTGGATTTGACTCTTGTCCACAGCTCGATGGCTCCTCGGCTGTAGTGGAAAGTGAGTAGTGACTCGTGGGGTAGCTACCACTTTCCGGTTCTCGTGTGTTCTGGGCTCCGCCCTGACACTCCGTTGCCGATTAGACGATCCGTCAGATTGCATTCTGTTCAAACGGACTGGGAGGCCTTTGGAAAAGAGTGGCATTCACTTAGACACCGTTCAATTGGACACGTTGCAAGTAGACACGTTGCAAATAGACCCAGAATTTTAGACACGGTTCAATTAGACACGGTGCATTTGGACACGCAAGAAATTGCGCACCGTTCATTTAGACACCGTTCAAATGCGCACCGTTTGTTTGTACACAGAAAGATGCGCACCGTTCAATTAGACACCGTAATAATGCGCACCGTTTATTTGAACACCGTAATAATGCGCACCGTTCACTTAGACACCGTAATAATGCGCACCGTTCACTTAGACAACGTAATAATGCGCACCGTTCAATTGGACACCGTTCACTTGCGCACCGCTCGTTTGTACACAGAAAGATGCGCACCGTTCATTTAGACACCGTAATAATGCGCACCGTAATAATGCGCATCGTAATAATGCGCACCGTAATAATGCACACCGTAATAATGCGCACCGTACTAATGCGCACCGTTCACTTAGACACCGTAATAATGCGCACCGTTCAATTGGACACCGTTCACTTGCGCACCGTTCGTTTGCACACAGAAAGATGCGCACCGTTTATTTAGACACCGTAATAATG